TTTACACCTGGGGAAGGGTGCAATAGCGGGCCACCACCCTGATGTGGATGTCTGAACCTCCGTCTGCTCCTCACAAAGCTCCCAGTTGCCCGTCCAGCGTGTCCGGTCGCCTCTTGCCCAACAGCGGGCTGACGCAAGCTCAGCAAGACGGCCTTCAGCCTCCCGTGCCCCAGACGCTTGTTTACACCGGTGCAAAACCCCTTCGCGTCCTGACCTGCCTGCTGCACGGCTTTGGACTTGCTGCCAGTGCCCGCGAGCAGGAGTGGCTGTTGGCAGGTCAGCGCTCCCAGGACATGGCTGGAGAGGTGCTGTCCCTGCCCATCTCCCACAGGTCTTCCAGCTCAGGGAAGAAGATGCCCTGCCAGGGGAAGAGGTGCTGGGGTTTTCTGTAGGACCAAGTTGTTCAACGCAGGTGGAAGAGGACTGAGGGGGAGCTGGGCACCTTCCCAGTAAAATTCCTCCCGCTTCCCCCTGCCAATGGACCAAATGTACTCGTTGCAGACATCTCCCTCTCTATGACTTGCCCAGCCACTCTTTTCCTTCCTTTTTTTTTTTCACGTGCCCCTTTTTCCATCCCTTATCTTGGAGCCCAGTGCCTGGGACGTACCCTCGCATCAGAGTTACACCTGAGCCAAGGACTCAGAGCACTTCTGAGCTCCAGCTCAGGGATCGTTAGAGGAAGACAGTGACCAGACCAGTCCTTCAGGTGCTTATCCCTTTCAGCATTTACTTTTGGAGCCTTGCATTGCTAGCAATTGTCGTCTTGACAACTTTATTTCTGTCTATGTTTTGTCTTTTCTTATCTTTCCTGGCATTAGTTCACCTATTTTCTCACAGTGCAGCAGCAGTTTTCTCAGCAAAACCAACCCAGGGTCACCCAACTGTGCTGCACCTCGGGTCAGAGACAGCTGAGCCCTGGGACCATCCGTAGAGCCCTGTGCCCAGGAGAAGGACAGATGGACTGCGACCCGCAGTCTGCTGGGACAATAACAGGTCCCAGACCTCCAGCCCAGCCACTGGAGCTGACATCGCCCGGGAGAGCTGGGCAGTACTGGTGTGCTCTAGCCTGAACCTCGAAGGAAAACACCCAAATTCCACAGCGTGACGGAAGACCTGCAAGGCTGCGTGACCCAGGCAGCCGGGCTGCAGCTCGTTGGCGTCCCAGCCTGTGCCTGCTGGGGACAAGGCTGCAGCTGTGAGCTGGGCTGGCGGGTGACGTGACAGCCCAGGCTGGCGGGCGACGTGACAGCCCGGGCAGCAGCGCGGGATGGCACTTGCCGTGTCTCATACTGACGGAAAGCCACCGCTCTCCTTGGCCATCCCCAGGCTCGGTGGGGGCTCAGCTGAGGGTCTGCCTCTTCAGCCACCTCCCGAAGGGAATACACGTGTCCCCCTCCTGCTGCCCCTCGTGGGGCCTCCGGGATCGGAGGTGACCCAGCAGAACCTGTGCTCTGAGACAGCACTTCTACCAGTGCTTACTGGGGATGTCCACTGTAGCAAAAACTGTATGTAATGGGCTTGGAGCTGCCTGTAGTGGCATCTGTTGGCCAAGCCACTGCGGTAATTTGCTATCTCCATACTTCTGTTGCATGGACTCAGAAACACGTCCGGAAGTGGGGAGGGCAATATGATTATCCACATCTTGGCAAATCCATCAGGATATGCACACTGATGTCTTGGCTCGTCCTCTAATGGGTGGCTTCTGGGCTTGCCAGCAGGGCTCAGCAGAATCAGCAGCTGATGCTCATGAAGGGAGGGGATGATCAAGGAAAGTCAAACAAGTGTCCAGGTTAGAGTCCCACCTTGAAAGGATGACTACGATTTTGAGGTGGTTGGCCCAGGAAGCCATGCTTCCATCGTGAGATGTACAGAGATATGTCTTCTTATTATTTCATGGCATTGAGAAATAATGTCTTCCTTTCAAGGTGGTTGCAACCTGCCAGTTGACAGCTCCCAAGGGAAAGCTCTACCTGAACCAACACTGTGGCACAAGGGACAGTTGGTGCAAGGTACCAGAGCCTGAGGTCTGCTTTAAGAGTTGGAGATTCACAGGTTTCCACTCAACAAATAACAAGAGCGTAAGGCCCGAGGGAGGTTAAAGGAGTAGTGCGCCATGTAACCATGACGCCGTACAATGCCAAGTTGTGTTTTGACAGACAATCCCCCCGAAGAGTGGGACTGGAGCCAAGCAGTCTAGCTTGGCAGAGACAGACCCTAGCAATACATTTCATCCCTGCCAGGCAATGTTGATTTGCTTTGGTTCACATTCATTTGTAAGCACCCTGTCTGCACAAAGCCCCAGATGGCCTTGGAGACTCCAGCACAACAATATTTTGATACAAATGCTCGTACAAAAGCTATCAGAGCCTGAGCTGGTGTCCAGAGACAATGGTCCTCACTAGTCACCATGCTTAGGAAGAAGCATGCATAAAGGAATGAAAATCCCTCAGCACAATTTGTGCACGAGGAGATACCCCACCAGTCCAAACTTTGTTTGACACAAGATCCTCAACCACTTAGATGGCTCAGGAAATCCTCTTAGCAAAATAGCAAAAAGCAGGTTCCCACTCTTGGAAAACTGCCTCCAGTGTCCTTGAATTCTTTTTTTTTTTTTTTTTTAATTTATTTTTTTGTTCCTCCAGGAGTCACAAGAATGACAACAGAAATAAAACAAAATTCTCCAGGCTCATGCTGATGGTTCAGTCTGGCTTGTCAGAATTACCAGCCTCCCAAGCAGCACTGTTCTATCTGTGCCCTCAGGTCCAGAAGCATGTGCAAGATCAAAAGCTGCTAGAAGTAAAACATGATTTCCCTTTTCCCCAGTGAATTACAGAATCTAAAGGGGAAATCTGTCCTTCTCTCTCTTCTGGAAGAAAGGCAAGAAGGCGTAACACAACCCATTGTCAGTTTGTAATTCCTCTTAATTTGCTGTTTTCCTTCCACGCAATAGTAGTTGAACACTTTGGCCAACAGAGCCTGACTTACTTGTTTGGCTGTTTCGTTTCTCTAATTAGAGAAGAAGACATGGCCACCTCCAGACGTAAAAGCCTTGAGGGGAATGATAAGTTGCTTGTGTTTCTGTGACAAAGAGGAGGGTTTTTGCTGGTCTGAAGTTTTAAGATCAGAACTGCTGGTCTGAGGCCCGCCTTCCTCCTCTCCCCACCAAACCCAAGCTGAAAACAGTACAGGTGGTACCAGCCCCGCCGCTGACTTTCACAGAAAACCTCTGGCAATGCTTGTATCTGCCTTCTGAGCTGACAG